TTATCTGGCAACAATTAACATAATGAATAAAAGGGGTAAGTTTCTAAAGAAACTGTGGGGGCAACGAGATAATTTGGTTATATCATCTGAGTTGATAATTGTAAATTGGACACCGTAAAGCGTTAAAAAGCTGACGTTTCCAGCGTTAGCCTTTCGTCAGAGCGTCATTCGCATATATGCCATCGTGGCCACTTTTTGGATCATAACTTAGTCTCGCTGGTTTGTCTTTATAATTATACCACGCTTCCTACACAAAAGCCGAGCCAACCAAATTCATTAGACATCGCCCGATACAGAAAGGCAGTTTACAGTACATAGTGGGTGTAGTTAGTATTTGTTTTTTGTTATGTATCACATTGTGTCCTGCCATTTGTGATTTTTTTTTTAAGAAACACATTCATCACATCTACTCCTCAGTGGGAGAATAGCGCTCTTTTAGTCTCTTTTAACTCATCTTTCAAACCGTTTCTTTACCGCTTGAAGGTCAGTGAAGTAAGACAAGCAGTACAGCAGACAATCAGACAAGCACTTTGCTGTCCGTGAAATTACATCCTCCTCAAGATTTACAAAAAAATTGAAACGTACATGGCTAACTGATATAACTAGTTGTAGTTTCGCTGCATTATCCTTCATCCTAGTTGCTCTAATAACCTTTTGGTGACGGCGTTGCATGTACATCATTCTACCTACAAATGCGCTCCTGGTCTTCATCACACTCAACTACAAGACCATGTTCAACAACAGCCGAGCCAACCAAATGCACTGAATATGGCGCTATTCAGAAGGGCGTTGTAAACTACACTGAGTTGCAGTTATCATTTAATCTTAATAAGGAAACGATCAAGAAATCAAAACAGCGAGAGTTGCTATTTTGGAATGTAGAACGCATAGAGTTGTTTCGTTCAATTCAGCCAACACGCTTTAAGTACAAGAATTGCTTTATTAGTATTCTGCAACCACGTTTGCATGCATGAACGTGTGTGGACAACTAGACAGTTAAGATAACACTTTTTTAAACTGGATCGAAGTTTCTTCATAATCGTCTCGAGCAAAACGAACCTACTGAAAGTGAAAAAAATTCACATGCTTAGCTTTATCTGCTGCCGTATTTTCTTATTTTTTTTTCCAAAACCTCTAGATAAGGCATCATGTAACTCTTTGATTGGAAATGTTTCTGGTCACAAAAATGAAATTTCAACTTGTCTTCTTTACCAATTACAACTATGCTCGTTACCCCCCGTGGGGATTGGAACAGCCACATAACCCAGGCGAATAAATCAATTTGAAAAGCTGACATGTCTGTTTACGTATCGAGAAATCCCGATTAGTTCTACTTTGCGTCACTCCACTGCTCAATGGTTGTTTGATGCTTTTTCTGTTGTTTTTGTTACTTCTTTGTAATTGCTACTGGTCATGCACTATTTGTTTTCATTTCCAAGCTGTTCTGGAGAAAATTCTCGAGATTTTCGCATTGAAGGAGTAAGAAATAAAGCTTCAAAGAATAACAGTTTGATTTAAAACAGAGTCCCATTGCTACCATTTTAATCAGCAGCTGTTCATTCTCTCCCGGGCCTCATCTGTTTTACCATCGTTCTCATCATATCACTACGGAGATAAAATTATTGAGATATTTAACAGAACGTTATAGGTGCCAAAATGGTCGACTGGCTGTACAGATACGTGAAAGGTAGCTGTGTGATACGAAATGAACGAATGATTCTCACCGTATTGCATTAAGCTTTTCTTCCACTGATTCCCAAGGATTGCGATCTTCACTAAATTCCAGAAGCTCTAGGGAAAATAGAAAAGGTAAGAGCACTTAGAATGCATCCATCGGAGAGGTATGAGATGCAACCGCATAAGATGAGTGGAAAAGACCAACCACACTTTCCTTAGCTGGTATAACTAGTTACTTCATAGTACCAGCTGGTTTTGTTTTTTCGACTTCTTTTTTAAGGGCTCCAGGTTAAGCGAGTTAACAAGAAGAGTTGAAGACCTACAGTATGTACTACCAAAGAGAATGAAGACAGTCTCAATGAACTACAAACCTTCCGCAAGTTTCTTTTCACTGATCCATTCTGCTTCCTTGTAATACTTGACGCGCAAATTCTAAAAAATTGCGATCAAATGTTTTGGAAAAATTTATCATTTGGTGAGGGAATGCCGCATTAAATTGCACACGAAAACCAATATCGCATGCATCGCGAATGCGATATTCCTTTTCAAGTGCAACTTAACGTGGAATTCACAGGTCAAGGAATGGACTTTCCTTGAATCGCATGATTGAATAAAAATAAATAAAAAACAGCATTACTAATAGTTGTTATGTAGACTAGATGCGATACTATGTCACTTAGCCTCGTTTTCGACTCACAATTCTACGCTGAATGCCTCGCCTCGTTAACCAATCAGAATGCGAGATTTTATTCAATTATGCCATTTAAGGGAAAAACCGACCTTCATGCAAATGATTTACTGCGGGAGAATGAACACAATATGAACAGGTACATGACCTAAAAGCATTAGCGTTTGAGCTGAGACGCAATGCCTATAAATTGATTCCGAGGCCATTGTTATAATGTCCGACTCTTGCCCGAAAAGGGCAGAGTAACTTCATAGTAACATTACCAGTTGTCACCACTTTCAATCTGAAAAAGAGAGGTTTTATTCTGAAATCGTGCTTGAATTCTTGTCACTGTTTTCTCACTTAACACGCCTGGTCATTCTTTACCAGTAACATACCAAAAAAGGACATCTTTCCATACGCATGAGCTGCAGAATACGATCCACATCATACTCCAGACGGGCGACTTTCTTGGCCTGTATGTAGGTCGTGCTCATCTGTGCTATGAGTATGTTCAGAAGAATCACGATCACAGTCCCCATGTACGTCAGCAGTAACAGAATTGAGAGCCAACTGAAAGAAAAATAGCTGCAAAACTCGAAGACGTTCGGTGCATAACAAAGGAAAACATTTGGCACAGCCTAACCTAGATAATTTATTGTTTTTGTAGTTTTTGCGGAGGAGATAGTAAACTTACTTGATGTTTGAGTAGTCTTCCGTAATTGGTCGTTGTTCGAACAAAGCGCGAAAACTACTCAACAAAACATCTCCTAAGCCACTGCACGTGAAAGGACAGAAAGAAATACTATTAGCAATTTGGACCGGTAGTAGTAATCACTATAAGTCAGGTAATACGTACAAGTCCTTTTTAGCTCACTTATTACAGCATCCAATTTTGAAATCGGAAGGCCTGGGTTTGAGTCACCTTTGGAAACTTAAATTTTCCATTTGTTTTTAGCTGGTGACAAATTCGTTTATCACAAGTCGTAAGGCGAAAATACAAATTAAGTTGACTCTATACAGTGGTTCTGAACGGTTTTATCAGTTTTGAGTAAAAATGATCGATACCTACTCAAAATCCCGTTGGTCTAATTTCGCAAAAAATGCCATTATGTAAAATTATCGTTGAACAAGTTGTTAGTGATCAATTATCATGACATAGTAGTAACAATTCTGAGCTTCCTTTATTCCAAAAAGACAGTCAGTCGATTACCTAAATTGATGGTACCCATAAGAACCCTGACGAAGTGATAAACACAAGGCAAAACCAAAAGGAAGAAAGATCACAATAAAAACTGCAATAAACCGCGTCAAGTCTTGCTGAATGACCTTAGCCAAGGTTTTTGTGTATAATCCCGCTGTCCTGAAAACAAAAAATCAATTACAGTTAAAGACTTTTTCTCATACTAAGTCTGGGTTAGGTCGGATAAATTCATCTTACCTACAAGATATTTTTATTTAAAACAAAATAAGTTTGCAAATTGCGTAACGAAGCTGTATTCCACACACACACACACACA